TATGTATGATAAATTGACTTCAATTCATTGGCCAATTTATTTATATCAACTAAATGACTAAAAGTTCATACTATTTTTACTTTAGTTCAAAATAAATTTTTACAATCAATACAAAATAACACCTGCTTTCAAATCACGATCAATAGTCGATGTTTTGTACTTCATTTTGTTTGTAATTTTACAAGAAATTTAAAAAAGTTTGAATCGAGTAGTCAGATTAATTGCCATTTTTATTCAAATTAAATGAAATGCTAGAATTAGCTTCGAATAAGATACATATATGGATAATTTTGAACGATGGTAGATTAAATCAAACCAACTATTCTATTTAAGTTAATCTGTATTTCCAGTTGATCAATTATATTAGACCAAAATACTCAGTGTCTATTGATAGATTGTTACCCAGTGCAAACGTTTTGGCAATGTCTGAAGATCAATATGACGTTATTTGGTTAATAGTGAATAGCAGTCAGTTCGAGTTTCAATGGGGGTAGCATCAGTCACTAGAGATGCAAGGATATATGCCTGATATGCGCATCTTGCATTGCACTGCTGGTCGTCATCATTCAAATAGCATAAACCTCTTGTTAATCATTATGAATTACTTCATAACTGCTGATTATACCAAAGTAGTAGTATATTTCTCAGCTTTATTTTCATTTTTGTTTGCTCGATGGATCGCTCACTGAGTTTTTTGACAGAAATATTACTGATATCACAATGAATCGCTAAAAAGTAGCCTTTCCGTGTGAATGGTGAAATGCATTTTGAATTTTCTGAATAGTTTGAGAGCTTCATACATTTATTCCCCTTTCTAAATTTGAATAAAGCGAGCGGAACGGTTCGTGCAGAATAAGACGGTACCGTCAGCCTAAAAGAACAACCTTGACGCGCTTTTCGATTTGTGTGTTACATTTGCTTAGTTACAGAAAACTTTAATTTCTCTAGCGTTTCTGGCCAGAAAGTTGTAAGTACTATTGTAATTCACTTACCTTCAAATACTGATTCTGTGGATATAATCTTGTTGACTATTAATACCTATAACTAACTGTTTGCCATTTTGTGATTGTTTAACACTGACTAATGCCCAAGTTGACCCAAGCCAGTGAGTCTATGGTTTGCGTGTCATTTTCGGTAATTGTATTTAACAGTGATATTACTGCTACGGCTTTTGTTGTTGCTGCTGCCTTTCCTGTTGTGAGTGTGTTTTCCTTTTGCTGGTGTTGTTCTGATTGCTTTATACCTTGTTTTCCTGATTCTAAAGAGAGCAACCCATGAAGTCTCTCTTCTGTAAACTACATATACATGTAATAACCCGCTTCTCAAACGTGAGGCTAGCAACCCCACCCTGTAAACAAAGCTGCTTCAGAAACTTCAGTACGATGAGTCTCCTTGCGAAGAAACAAAAGCTATGTGTGGAGAAATGAAACATCCACACTACGTATGAGACTGGTAAAGCTACCCAGATTGCAAACGAGATGAAGAGATATGGTATTCAAGTACTGGGAATATGTGAAAGCTGATGGAACGGGAATGGGGTCACCAAATTTTCAATGGGTGAGTCAGTGATCTACTCCGGTCACCCAGAAGATGACGCACACCGAAGGCGTGGCTATCATAGAGTCCCCGACAGCAACGAAAGCCCTGATACAATGGGAGGCGATCTCACCCAGGATAACGAACACTAGATTCAACTTCAAAGGAAGGAAAGTGTCAGTTATACAATGCTATGCACCCGCAAACAACGCAGACCTCGAAAAGAAAGAAGAATTCTACAGAAAACTACAGGCAACGATGAACAATACTCCAGTCGGTGAAATTAAAATCATAATGGGAGATGTGAACGCCAAACTGGGACCAGAAAACACAGGAAGAGAACTCACTATAGGTAGATAAGCTCTTGGAGAGATGAATGAAAACGGAGAACTCTTCTCTAACTTCTGTGCCTTCAATGAACTAGTGATTGGTGGCAGCGTATACAAGCACAAGGATATCCACAAGGCTACATTGGTGTCACCAGATGGGCAAACTAAAAACCAAATTGACTTCATCTCAATGCTGCTCAAGGAGGTGGAGGTGCAGCCTACTGGATACAAAAGTAAGAAGAGGAGTAGACGTAGGTTCAGACCGCTATCTCGTACAAGGAACACTCCAAACCAAATCAAAAGCTTTCAGGGAAACAGGAGCTGCAGACAGACAGTAAGGCAAGTTCAACACTCAAAATCTGAAGGATCAGGCCACAAAGGATATCTTCACGGCAATCATAAGGAAAAAGGTGGAGACACAAATCAACGCTAGCGAAGAGGTGAGCGTCGAAAAACGCTGGAACAAACTGAAAGCGGTGTGGAGTCAAACCTGCATGGAGGTTCTAGGCAGAAAGAAGAGACAGGACAAACAGTAGCGGACTACAGACACATGGGGACTAATAGAAGAGAGGAGGATGTTGAAACAAAAAATTATCCAGTGCACTGACGAGCAACAAAAACAGGAGTTGAATGTAAGCTACAGTACACTGAACAAAGGAGTGAAGAAGAGTGCCATGGAAGACGAAAGAAAGTATTATGAAGCTCTGACCAATGAAGCAGAATAAGCTGCAGGCAAAAGAGATCTCGCAACACTTTACCAAGCAACTGGCTTGCTTTCGGGGAAGAGATCAACACAAATTAAGCCAGTGAAGGTCACAATGGAAAGTCAATCACCAAAGAGATGGATCAAAGAAAACACCGGGCTGAACACTAAAAAAGACTTCTAAATCGACTGCCACCTATATCGCGCCCAATAATACCAACAGCGGAAGCAAAACCACTAGTGGACATCAACCGTCCAACGAGAACAGAAATCCTAAAGGCAATCAAGATGCTAAAAGCTGGAAAAGCAGTAGGACCAGACGGAATCCCAGCAGAGACATTTAAAATGGACCCCAAGACATCAGTTGACTTGATGACACCCCTACTGGCGAAGGTGTAGAGAAAGGTACCTGCAGATTGGAAGAAAGGCTACTTATTCAAACTGCTAAAGAAAGGAGACTTAAGTCAATGCAAGAATTGGCGTGGCATTATGCTTCTGTCCATCCGAAGCAAAATACTAAGCCGCATCATCCTGAAGAGAATCAAACACGCCCTGCATTTAGAACTTCGACCAGGACAGGCTGGATTCAGGAGAAACAGGGCATGCGTCAATCAAATCGCAACCCTGCGTATCATCACTGAACAGAGCTTGGAATGCTAGTCACCTCTCTATCTCAACTTCATCGACTTTGAAAAGGCCCTCGACAGCGTCGATCGAGAGGTGATTCGGAAACTACTTCGCTACTACGGGGTGTCGTCAACAATCACATGCCTCATCCAACAGTTGTGCGATAATGCTGCATGCTAAGTAATCCGCAACAGGGAACTCACGGAATCCTTCGAAGAGGTGAAGACGGGAGTAAAACAAGCTGGCTGCCTATTGTTTCCAATGACTTTCCCGATTGCGGTAGACTGGATAATGCAAAAGAAAGCAGGCAACGAGGAGACAGACATAAAATGGACCCACACAAAAAACCTGGAGGATCTAGATTTCGCCGATGATATCTGTCTGATTTCCCACAAACTGGAAGACATGCAAATGAAAAGCAACAAGTTAGCAGAAGAAGCATCAAAGATAGACCTTCAGGTAAACATAGTTTAAAACAGAGATGGTGAAGATTCCGGAAAACAGCAACAACAACAATCAGCATAACTGGGAGAAATCTGAATGAAGCAGCCTTCTTTACCTGCCTGAAAAGCATAATTTCAACTACAGGCGGACGGTACTGACGAGGATATCAAAGCAATTATCGGGAAAGCAAGGCAAGCTTTCATTACTCTCAAGTCTGTGTGGAGGTCAACAGCACTCAGCATCAAAAATAACATCCGGATTTTCAAATCCAATGTGAAGTCAGTTCTACTCACTATATGGATCAGAGGCTTGGTGCGTCACGAAGGATACTTCGAACAAACTACAGACCTTCATCAACAGCTGTCTTCGCTCATTACTACTCAAGACCAGAAAGCCGGCCAGAAAAGATTGTCAACAAGGGGGGAATTCCGGGAACCAACCAACCAACTCAGCAGGAACCAACTATGCAGCAAATATGCAGGAAGAAATGCAGGCGGATTGGTCATACTCTGAGAAAACCATCAAGTGACATCACAAGACAGGCCCTCGAGTGAATGTGAATGTGAAGCGGTGAGTTGGTCGCCACTGCGAGGGTGACATGGAGGAGTTCATGTGGAGAGGAGATGAAAGGATGTGGGGAGACGTGGAGCCAGGTCAAAATGTTCGCAGAGAACCGAACGCAATGGAGACGTGCGGCTGAAGCCCTATGTTCCTCTAGGAACTAAAGAAAACAGTAATAATAAATAATCAGCTTAAAGAAATTCAATAATTTCCTTAAGCTGTACTCAGATGATGAGAAACCTATGAAATAAATGGTGACACCACCATCTTACTCTGCACAAGGCGTTCTTCTAGCTTCATTCAAGTTTGACAGCTATTTGTGTGACTCGCTACTGACTATAAGTTAAGTGGAGAACTCAAATATTTCGCTTCTATCACAAAACAGAACAAATTACCTAAGAAAAAGCAATGAGACAGAAGAGATATTTTAAGCAGTGGGTCTTTCTTCAGAAATTCGGAAAGTACGGCGTATTTAGTGCGAAGTACAAAGGTCAGTTAACTTCTAACTAACTAACAGTAATCTCTTACAGGGTGTTTTAGACTTTCGTCTTAAATGTTTATTCATGGTTATAATTTAGGGATGAGTAAAAGTTATCACTTTTGATTAGGCCTAGAAAGTTTGACCTTCGAACATTTCGGTAAACAGATTGGTTTGAATTTCAATAATGGCCATCTTCAAATTTGAACTAACTCCCTATACGGCAGACGAGGTAGTACAGTTTTATCGGTGAGTAAAATAATTAGTATCCCCATGTTGTACTGATTTTATATAATTCTGTCTCCACTATTTGTTTGTTTAGTTACACTCGATATCCTAATAGGAAGCTTACTCCAGCCTCTACTTCAATTAGACTAAGTCGAGGTGAAAATAACTACTATCCGGCAACTGAGCATCAGAGAACACCAAGTGCACCAAACATAAGATATGATTTACCCACTGATTATCAAACTACTTCACAATATTATAATTCCTCATGTACACGTAGACCACGTCAATTGTTACGTAGAAAGGATTCTATTCAGCCTGCACCTTCAAATGTGTTACCAGAGGACAAGTCACTATACCGATCGACATTCACAGGAAGAATATGTGGTAGGTTTTCTTGTATTGTGTGATTACTGTGAAATTGGAATGGTAAAAAAGTATAAATGACCAGTTGTTTTAAAAAACTGACATTCAATTATATGCTACAACTTTTCTATCTGGTATACGACAGAATGATGGAGAATAATTTCCCCTCTGAGGTTTACGACACAGGTTATCACGCGCAATAATAATAAGATATATATACTTGATAATGTGTCATTATGTGAAATAAACTAAGCGCCTAAATTCTAACTATTTAACCAGTTTAGCTACAGAAAAGATGAGGAATATTCATAGTTCTCTTTATATATTTATTTGTAAAATGAAAGTCTGTTTGGGGCTTAAATACGATAGGATAAAACTTTTGAATATTATTTTATTCCTGTATCAGTGGAAAATCTGTTTTCAACAATCTAAGCATAAGGAGAATACTTTTACCATAACAGACCTGCATAGTTGTATATTGGTGCTTTCTGCTCATAGCTAGACACAACTTTCACTCCAACTAATGTCCATAAGGAGAGCTAACCTTCAAAATAACCTTTGTTTCATGTAGTCTATGGGGTGGAAAACTGTTTGTTGACAGTGTAAAACAATAGTTCCTGAGAGTGGTTGATAATGAGTGATGATCGTTTGTTACTGATTTGTTGTAACAGGACAGTTTTTTTCGATGAAACAAACAGCAAATTATTATCACTTTTACCAACTTGATATTTCATCAGTGGATGAAAGACTTAGAACCTTGCCTTGTTTGCAGCAGAGTTGAAATAGTGTTGATTCTTCAACTCTCACAGAGTTATATTAAATATATTTTTCAGTTTAAGGCTGTCACTAAAAATTATTGGGCATCTCAGTAGGCATGTGAGTTTGCTTATTAGTTTTTGTAAGGTCTGTAAAGTTCAACCACATATGTGGCGTGTGCTACTGACAAAATTTATAAGTAATATATAAGTACAGATACAAATACGTATATCATATACAGATATATCGAATATCAGAAAGACTGATTAAAATGGCGAAGAGAAAAAATAAACCATGCTTGTAAAACATGGTAAAAATAACAGGGTGATAAAGAATCGCAATACAGAAGATATGTGCATGTTGTTATTTTAGTATGTGGTAGACATCTATTTTGCTTATATCTGCACATTCAGCTATCAACTAATAATATACTCTTGTGTTATCTCGTTATTACATATACTTAAGCATATCACGCAACATATATTATGTATGTATGGATACGCAGAATGGCGACTAGGGTCTAATAAATGTCATGTATCCAGTTCTCATTCTTGGTGCTGACTGGATTCTATTACTGAACTGTGTATTATGATCATAAACTTAAGTGATTAGAGGTAATCAGTAGAAAGCTTTTTGTTTAGGTCTCGTCAACAAGGCGTATCTGCGATCATGAATGATCTGATGCGTGAATGTACATGTGCATATTTCAACGAATACAGACCTCCATTGATATTTTACACTTTGTGTTTGCTGTATATATTAACAGCATGGCAGATATTTATCCCTAGTTTGGAAGTCAGTTTAAACATTATTATAAGTGTCCTGGTTTAGCACTTTAAGTATATCACAACATATAATTCTTGTTAGGCATCTTTTATTAGTAATGTAGGGACAGCAGCCGAGTGATTAGTATACACTGTCATGTATTAATATATCGTGAGTTTACACCGAAATTTTCCTAACGTCGTAATCCAACAGCAAGGTGAAATCCTGAATGTATCACTAAGGTGGTCACCATAATGTAGAACTAAATTACACAAAGTTGAATACGATCACTAACAGAACAATTCAAACCATTATTACGTCACACACCAATGACACACAGATTCAACTCAAGATGAAGGGGGCTGAAATCACCCAATACCACGCACCCACTGGCTGTTCTTCGGCTGCTGCTGGTATTTGGTTCGGGAGTCCTTTTAATTGATCAGCCAACTGTTTTATTTATCTTTCTTCTTTGGTAATTAGGTTCACTTGACTATCTTTCATTGGTTTCATTTGTGTTGATCTCTTCCCGAATAGAGACGAGACCTGTTTATCTGACATAATTTTTGGAGGTCTCTTTTACCTTCCTGTTGTCAGCCTGTTCTGCTTCAGTTCCCAGTGTGTCGTAGAATTATCCTCTGTCTCTTCTTCAGTGAGATATAAACTGAAATCAGCTTCTCCTTCCGGTATCCATCTTTGTATTGATTCATATTCTGTTTCACCATCCTCCTCTCTTCGATTAGCTTCCACGTGTCCGTTGAGAGCTATTCCTTGTCTTGCCTCGTCTTTCTGCCTAAAAAGGCCAAACACGTTTCCTTGAACTTCACTTTCAGAGAGTTCCAGTGATCTTCCACACAGCTTTCTCCCTTGATGTTATGTGTGTCTCCGATTTCGCTCTCATGATTGTAATCGGACTGTCTCTGGTAGTTTCGTCCTTCAATTTCTGGGTGTTGAATTTGAATTGTCGTCTATCTCCAGCTTCATGAAAGGCTTCCGACTTTACCTTAAAGGTTACTTGAACTAGATAAAGGTCTGAATCCACACATACTCTCCTTCTCGACTTTGTGCCCAACAGACTGCCTCTTCCCTTTCTTGAGTTACATTGAGATGAAGTCTATCTGGTTCTTGATGTGTATGTCAGGTGAAATCCATGTAAGCTTGTTTATATCTTCGTGTTTGTACAGGTTGCCTCTAATCACCAAATCACTGAGTGCTCAGAAGTCCGCTAAGTGTTCTCCGTTCCCATTCATTTCATCCAGACCATATCAACCAGTGATGAGATCTCTTCCTATATTGTGCTCACAATTTGACATTCATATCTCCCACTACGATTTGAGTGTCACCATTCTGGGTCTTATTCGCCACAGTGCTACATTTCAACAGAGACCGAACATCTGGGTCTAGTCAATCAACGTGAAAGTCGAAATTGAATTATCCACTATGGTTTGCAGGTGTCTATAGAAATCTTCCTTCTCTTGTTCTGGGTTGTTTGTGGGTGCGTGGTATTGGGTGATTTCAGCCCCCTTCATCTTGAGTTGAATCTTTGTGTCATTATTCTGCAGGAGGAGATTGGTTCTCACTGTATAAGAGCTTCAGCCGATGTTTGTGTCATCATTATTGCCACTCACTGCCTCAATGTGCTCGTGGTTGTCGTCTGGGTGACCAGACCGGAGTAGATTTCCGACTCTCCAGTTGATAATTTGGACAGTGCACATGCATTCCATCTGCTCTCACAGATTCCTGGCACTTCCATGCCATGTAGTGTAGTAAGTTCTAGTTAGTTTTCCTCAGACTGGAGCTAAAACCACCGGATAAATTCTAGCCGAAGTGACATAAACTGAAGATTTTCTACTGTCTTTTCGCAATAATCCACCTACATTTGTATATAACAAGTGTTTTTAATGTATTATATATTTTTTTTTTCGAATAGCACCGTCTTGCAAAGTTCAACCACGTGATGAAGGCATAAATGGTCTTGAGACAACTCAACAAAGAGCCAAAAGCTTACTAAAATCGGAAGATTTTATTGAAATTGACAGTAATGTATACAAACAAATTTATCCTTCACCAAATGATTCTACCTACAGAACTGATTTCACTGAAAATGTCTTCAAAGATGTTCATTACGACACACTACCACAAATTGGTCACGAAAATAAAAATACTTTAGCTGATTATCATAAGAAGTATCATTCATGGGTTAAGCCACCCATGAATGATGAAATTATCCAACGAGTCGGTTATAACTGGAAACCCAGACCAGCTGTTTACCTTCCAGAAGATCCGAGTAAACATGAACCAATAGAATCTACTTCGGTTTACCGATCAAATTTTGTTAGTTATTCTAAGGATGCACTGTTAAATCGTAGGAATCCCAGTCAGAAAGCCTGTTTTTCAGCTATTAAGGAAGAAAATCTATTAAGTAGCTATGATGGAAAACGAGAGAGAATTCCTAATACACTATATCGTGATTCATACATTAGCTTACATGACGTGGATAACTGGAGTGGTCGTCATACACTACAAAATCTATCATCTATTACGTCGCGTACTGGACCATATCAACAGGATGATGAAGTGTATTGGTTCGGAATAGATACAGTCCCATTCATAGAGACGAAAGAATCGATGTTTACTCAGTCATCGAATTTAAAGAGTCCTTATGATAAATCAAAGGCTTTGATTCAATAAAAAAAGAAAATGTTAAGTCGTTTACGTCAGTGTAGTGTTCAGTATGCGTCTCCTTTGAGTGAAATAAAAATGAATACCATATTTTATAATTTTAGCCTCAATTTAGCCAATCAATCTAATTAAAATCATTCTTTCTTTTTTTAAAGAATATATTTTCACTTAATTGAATATCATCCACATTCTTTCTTGTCTATGCGATTATGTGCTCACAAACGCGCCAGTGTTCAGTAATTTTTATTATAATGAATTACATTATTTCATTTGTTTTGTTTTTTCATAATGGAGATCAGAAGATCATGATCAGATTTCGGAAGCTTATATTGTTCTTCGACATTACCCTATCATAATCAATAAAAGTTTATTCATTTCAGGAAAGGAAGTATCTGACTGTAGGAAGATTTCGAAGAACTAGCACCATTCATTGTATGTTGAGAATACAAAGATGTGAACAAATAGAGAAGGAGATACTGATTTTAAGATAACATTTAGTATTAGACAGTATGTTAGCTGCTGAATGAACATAGCACTAGTCATTATCTGCTGATGAATAAATCGTGGGTAATATAAGTACGATAAGGCTTTTTAGAATTTTTCAATGATTGATTAAGTGCTAAGAATAACAATCTGCTTCGAATTTCACATTGGTAGAGAGTAGTCGCAATGACATAATTTTTATGACTCCTCGAATTGAAAATGATCCTTGATAGATAAAAGGTTGCTAACAGTGCATGGCGATCAATATCTCAAACTAATGGAAAAATTGGCATTTGGATTTCGTACAAACATGAGTATCTCATGCAGCATTTAAATCTTCAAGTCATATTCTGTGCTGAAAACATGTTTTTGCGTTTGAAATATGTGTAGCTGAATAGAAAAGTTAGTTATGTGATGAAATGAAAATGAGTGTGTTGGGATGAACTGACTATTTTCGTTGGCCGTAAGTTCGTGACTGAAGCAGTTGGTCAGATATTGATTGTTTATCAATAGTTTAAATTTTCGTTGTTGTGTAAAGAATGATTTACTCTGTATTGTGAATAATAACCTTGTCGGTGTTGTTGTCGCAGTTGTCTAAGTTAATTCTGACTTCTGTGTCTACCTCAGTGTGGGGTAATATTCCTAAGTAATCGGTTGGCTATAATGCCATGACTGGAGCCTCATTCTAGTCAACTTAGACAGCAACCGAAGAAAATACCAATACTTTGCTACAACGGAGTATAACCATGAGATACTAAATACTTGGTGATACTAAGATCTGGTAACCATTTAAGGCTCTATTACTTCTTGCATTAAGAAAAAGGCACAAACAGCGAAGAAAATTTTCTTCTCGACGATTCATTTTCATGAGATACGCCATCTGTACATAGCTGAAGCATTAGCTATTCCAGATCTGAAACCGGACCTCTGCATTCAAAAGTGATACATACATTCTCTTGCCCTACCATGCCCAGAGTAAAGTTCTTACTTCAATTTTGCTTCTTTCCTTTATTATCTAGATTCGTTATTATTATTATTGTTCCTAATAGTTTTATTATCATTATTATTTCCATCATCCACATTTTATTACCATCCCATTACTGTTTATTAATATCATTGCTTTTTCATACAGATTTTATACAGAAACACTTTATAGCCTTTCCACTAGTTCCTGTCTATTCTTTACGAGCTTACTGATTAGTCACACTCATTACGTCATGCCAACTTCTGTCTCCGTTCTAACTTAGAATTAGTCATCCCTTCTTACACCTAACATTATTTAATACAATTTTCAAGGACAAAGTTTACCAGTATCTGATTGGTCTAAAGATCTCTTCGTTAATTAAAATTAAGATGGAACAGCTCATGAAGATGAATCGTCGAAAAGAAAATTTTCTTCGCTGTTTGTGCCTTTTTCTTATGACTCAATAAGCCCAGGCCTGGTTTTGTTATTTCCAACAGCTGCAACGTAGGTTAAATGTATATGCCTAGAACCTGCTATTAGCCATGATTGTTTATGGTAAACTAGTTAACTTTGGAGCCGTAACCATTACGGAAGTCTTTGGACAAAAAGTGAACATTTTATGACAGAGAAAACAAAACGAAAAGTATTTAGTCTGTTAGTTAGTTAGTCGATCGCCTTTGGTTGACAGGTTGGTCGCGGTGTGACCTCAGATGAAATCATTGAACTTTTCTTACACCGATTACAGACTAAGTGCTAAAGCATGAAATGTAGCTAGGAGGAGGATTACTTAGAAACTCATTTCTTAGACTAACATTTGTCATAGCTATAGATTCTGGGGTGGATGTGAAAGACTAATAAGTATGGAGGCCTCATTGACTGACAATCTGGTGACTCGTAAATGTGAGTGATGACGTCGCAAAATTTCCAGTAAATCGATGGGATAAATTAATGATTGCTTTTAAGATACCTTTAATACAATTTGCAAATATCTATGTAATGGCTGATATAATCAAGAGTTTTATTTACTGGATAATCGTTACTGGCGATGGTACAGTTACTGATATCACCAGCATGAGTACTTGGCGAATTCAACGTAAAAGTAAAGCAGTAAGATAAAATTGTTTATTTGTCTGATGAAGAAAATGTCACTCATATGAGGCAGAATGTTAGGTGGGGTGGGGTGAAACTTACGTGTTCCCAAAGTATTATGAGAATTATAGGTTTTTAAGAAATATGGGACCTAGTTCGGTATGTTCCCTTAGCTTCCGTTTTTTCCTCAGTTATAAGAACAGTTGTTTTCAGTTTTTTTCCATGCTTTTCCTGCTCACATTTATAATTAGTCTAAAATAACTAACTAACTACAGTTGTAGCCATATACACTCTGTGATATTTCATCATGAACCGAAATAAAAAGAGGAAACCATTGAAAGTTTGAAAATGATAGATGGCTCCTTCCTTCTAGTTTAAAGAATCTAGCAGTATGCACCCATGAACGCAGTCACTCTAGGTCACAAGACCAGGAAGTCGTACTGATCTACGGGAAAGCAATCTTACTGCTCATGAATCCAACTGCTACCTGTTCGCAATATTAAACATATTTGCAGGATCAAAATAAGCTTATGATTTCCACTGAAAGGCTTTTCATTAGCTTCTGACCCCCTAAAATGTCATAAATCATTATAAATGCAAACATATATGACATACTTCAAACATTATTTCAACTCAAAGGGCATAGATTTAGGACAAGAGATATGAATGCATGAGTTAATAATCTAACAACCAGGGTTTATGCATTCGTAGCATTATTCAGAGTTCGTGGGAAATGGGTGGAAGTGAGAAGAACTATAAGTAAAAGTGAAATTTTGAAGCAAAAAGACAGCTAATCTAATTGGAAGATTAAAAATGACTTCACCTCATTGAGTGACAAAAAAATTGTGAAGCAACAGGGTAGTGTATACAGAGACTTGGTTGAAGACGTTTGATAGCAATGATTTCTGCAAATTAAAGTGACTAAGGCTTTTTTCTGTAGATTGATTATTTTTAAGGACCGACTGTATGTCCGGTGTTAATAAGGAGCTTAGCGATTGTATATGGAAACTTCTTCTTACTATTTATATGAAGACTGTTTAGAATTTTCTCAGAAAATCCAGTAGATGTAGTCCTCTCAGTCCGTCTTAAGTACTTACTACTGCAAGTACATGTGAACTGTTGAATGCAGCTGGAGTTAGCATTATCAAGATACTTATCTACTTTGGACTAGATTAATGACCATTTCATGTTATAAAAATCAATCACCATAGCGCTGAAAATGTTCTTTTGAATGCACCTCCTTTTTTTCTTCGATTCTGTTTGATACTTCTTACTTTTGTACGCCGTGCAAATATGAACTAGCTTCATTCTGGACGTTTCTTCTCTTCTATATTTTATTGTAACTTCTTTGGATAGCTATTCTCCATTCTATTCTTTTCAGTAATCGTGAGTTCTCCATCAGTCTTATTTTCGGAACACAACGCCCTCACTCTACTGGACGAGAGTTTTAATCAAATACTGTTTGTAACCAATTGGGTGGAAACTGTGATAAGTCAAGTACTGATCCGTTACACGTTTCTTTTATATAGGTTCCATTATTTCTTTGTCTTATGCTGAGATCCAAAAAGTTGAACTGGTTGTTCCGTTCATAATCCATTGTAAACTTAATGTGAGGATGAGCTACGTTGTCTTTTAAGCAATATGTAATCTTCTCTATTCGTCGATTTCACTTGTGTCTGTTTAAGGTGGATCATGAATGTTTCCACAAGAACAGAGCCCAAAGGCAAACCCATAGCATTCCATCACTTTGCCAGTACCACTAGTTATTAAATTAGAACTAAACACTCTTTGTAAAAAGGAATTTAGAGGCTGACGGTATAGACGTTCGCGAACAGTACAAAAGTATATTAACGCATGTTCTTACACCGACAACTTCCAATGTATTTCAATCTCGCGTACCAAAAGCAAAGCAAAAGATAGTATTTGATCGTCCAAATTACGTGATATATTTCAGGACCAAAACGAGTTGTTAGACAAACGCTTAGCTGGCTAGTGACTGCTCACGAACGTGACACGACGGAGTACCAAATGGCAAGGATGCTTGACCGGAAGCCTTCAACTAAACAAGTCGACTTAAACAGTGGTGGTCAGCATCCAATGAGTGATTGCTGTGGTCAATAATTTTGGGGAATTATTTACCGCTACAGGACTAACAGTTGTCTCAACTCGTTTTCAGCAAGAGGAAGTAATTCACACTTCCCGTATATGATTTTCACTGTTTTTACAATGCGTGTGGTTGTATATAATCATCAAAAATCATATTATGTGACGGGTTTATCTGAAATATTCAAATGATCCAGTCCATGTGAAAATTGAAACGGATTCTTGACACTGTGGACTGCCAGCTTTCTTCAGACTGGTTCCAACTTTTGTGTCAACTGACTAACCATTTTATGGCACAGTGAACAAGCACCTTGAACATCTTAAGAAAGGAGTAAATGATAACAAAACCTATAATGAACTTAAACCAAGAGACTTATGCATGGAATTCATGTATGGTTTATCCAAAGCCCACAGATGAGATTTACCTCTGCGATAGACAATATCATTGGTGATATATAGCTCTATCACCAAACAATGACATCAGGGAGAATCTGTTTTCACACATTACTTGGTGGACCTCATCGTTTACGAATTCTCACTAGAACATCAGGATATCTATCCTGTTTTAGAGAGTTTGACGTGATATCTCGTTCAACAACTTCTAATTAATTTATTCTCGCGTACC